CTCCAATCAAAAGATACATGATACCAGAATGGATTAAAAAAAAAGATTCATCCATATGCTGCCTACAAGAGACTCACTGTAGATGTAAAGATACCTGCAGATTGAAAGTGAGGGGATAGAGAAGCATCTATCATGTAAATGGATGTCAAAAGAAAGCCATTATGTCAAACTAGATTTTAAACCAAAAACTGTAACAAGAGAGGAAGAAGGGCATTATATCATAATAAAGGGGGATAATCCAACAAGAAGATCGGAAGATCTAACAATTGGAAATATCTATGCCCCTAATTTGGGAGCACCCAAACATATACAACAGCTAATAACGAACATAAAGGAACTCACTGGTAATAATACAATAATAGGAAGGGACTTTACTATCCACTAACAGCAATGGACACATCATCTCAGCAAAAAATCAAGAAGGAAACAGTGGCTTTGAATGACACAGTGGTCCAGATGGACTTAACAGAATATTCAGAACATTTCCCTCCAAAGCAGCAGAATACACATTCTTCTGGAGTGCACATGGAATGTTCTCCAGAACAGATCCCACACTGGGTCACAAATCACCCCTCGATAAGTACAAAAAGAGTGAGATACCATGTATATTCTCAGACTACGACACTGTGAAACTTGCAGTCAAATACAAGAAAAAAATTGGAAAGACACAAATACACAGAGGTTAAATAACATCCTACAAAGAATGAATGGGTATTAAGGAGGGTGTGTAGTGCATGGAGCACTGGGTGTTGTACACACACAGTGAATCTTGGAACACTGTATCAAAAACTAATGATGTATTTTATAATGACTAACATAACACAATAAAAAAAATAATGAATGGGTTAACCAGGAAATTAAAGAAGAAATAAGAAAATACATGGAAGCAAATGAAAATGAAAACATAGCAGTCCAGACCTTTGGGATGCAGCAAGGACCATTCTAAGAGAGGAGTATATCACAATACAGGCCTACCTCAAGAAGCAAAAAATCTCAAATACACAAACTAACCTTACACCTGAAGGAGCTAGAGAAAGAATAACAAATGAACCATAAAGCTGGCAAAGGAAGGGAAATAATAAAGATCAGAGCACAAATAAATGATACAGAAACTAAAAACAAAACAAAACAGGGAACAGATCATTGAAACCAGGAGCTGGTTCTTTGGGAAAAAAATCAATAAAATTGATAAATCCCTAGCCAGACTCATCAAAAAAGAGAGTGAGAGAGAGGAACCCAATTAAGGAGGGCACGTATTGCATGGAGCACTGGGTGTGGTGCAAAAACAATGAATTCTGTTACGCTGAAAAGAAATTTAAAAAAATAAAATAAAAGCATAAATGAGAGAAGAGAAATAATAATAAACCCCACAGAAATACAATTATAAGAGAATATCATGAAAAATTATATGCCAACAAGGTAACAACCAGGAAGAAATGGTAAATTCCTTAAAACATACAAAATATCAAAACTGAAACAGGAAGGAATAGAAAACTTGAACAGACCCATAACCAGCAAAAGAATTGAATCAGTAATCAAAAAACTCCCAAAAAACAAACGTCCAGGACCAGATGACTTCCCAGGGGAATTCTACCACTTAAAGAGCTAATAGTTTTTTGTCTCAAATATTTCAAAAAATAGAAAAGGAAGGAAAACTTCCAAATTCATTCTATGAGACCAGCATTACCCTGATACCAAAACCAGATAAAGACACTGCTAAAAAAAAAAAAAAAAAAAAAAAAAAAAAAAAAAAACATGAGAGAGAGAGAGAGACAGAGAGCTACGGGCCAATATCCCTGATGAACATGGATGCAAAAATTCTCGTTAAGATACTACCAAACTGAATCCAGCAGTACATTAAAGAAAATTCACCATGATTGAGTGGGATTTATTCAATATAAAGGATGGTTCAATATTTGCAAATCAATCCATGTGATAAATCACATCAATAAGAGAAAGGCTAAGAAACATATGATCATTTCAACAGATGCAGAAAAAGATTGACAGAGTACAACATCCATTTATGATAAATCCTTCAACAAAGTAGGGATAGAGGGACCATACCTCAACATAATAAAGTCCATATAAGAAAATCCACAGTGAACATCATCTTCAGTGGAGAAAAACAGAGCTCTTCTCCTAAGGTTAGGAACATGACAGGGATGTCCTCTCTCACCACTGTCATTCAACTTAGTGTTGGAAGTCCTAGCCTTAGTAATCAGACAACAAAAAGAAATAAAAAGCATCCAAATTGGCAAAGAAGATGTCAAACTTCCACTATTTGTAGACAACATGATACTCTATATAGAAAACCTGAAAGACGTCATAAAAAACTGCTAGAACTGGTTCATGAATTCAGTAAAGTGGCAGGATACAAAATCAATGTACAGAAATCTGTTGTATTTCTACACATCAGTAATGAAGCAGCAGAAAGAGAAATTAGGGTATCAATCACATTTATAATGACATCAAAAATAATAAGATATGGGGGTGCCTGGGTGGCTCAGTCAGTTAAGCATCCAACTCTTGATTTTGGCTCAGGTCATGATCTCAGAGTGGTAAGATCAAGCCCTGAGTCAGGCTCCCCATGCAGCAGGGAGTCTGCTTCAGATTCCCAGTCTCTCTCTTTCCTGTTCCTCCATACTGCACATGCACTGTCTTTCCCTCTCAAATAAATAAATAAATGTTTTAAAAAATAATAAGGTACTTGGGAATAAACCTAGCCGAAGAGTTGAAAGACCTGTAATCTGAAAACTATAAAATGCTGGTGAAAGAAATTAAGATGACACAAAGAAATGGAAAAACATTCCATGTTCATGGACTGGAAATCAAACATCTTTAAAATGTCTATACTCTCTAAAGCGACCTACACATTCAGTAAATGCCTATCAAAGTACCACCAGCATTTTCACAGAGCTGGAACAAACAATCCTAACATTTGTTTGGAACCACAAAAGACCCTGAATGGCCAAAGCAATCTTGAAAGAGAAAGCCAAAGTTGGTGGCTTCACAATTCCAGACTTCAAGCTCCATTACAAAGCTGTCATTGACAAGACAGTATGACACTGGCACAAAACAGACACAGATCAATGGAACAGAACAGAAAACCCAGAAATGGACCCTCACCTATATGGCTAACCTTCGACCAAGCAGGAAAGAATATCTAATGGAAAAAAGACAGTCTCTTTAATAAATTGTGTTGGGAAAACTGGGCAGCCACATGCAGAGGAATGAAACTGGACCATTTCCTTACACCACACACAAAAATAAAGTCAAAATGAATGAAAGTCCTAAATGTGAGACCTGAAACCATAAAAATCCTGGAAGAGAACACTGGCAGTAATTTCTGTGACATCAGCCATAACAACATGCTTCTAGTTATGTCTCCTGAGGCTAGGGAAACAGAATCAAATATTAACTATTGGGACTTCACCAAAGTAAAAAGCTTCCACAGCAACGGAAACAACCACCACCACCACCAACAACAACAACAACAAAAACACAACCTATGGAATGGGAGAAGATATTTGCAAATGACATACCTGATTAAGGGTGAGTATCCAAAATCTATAAAGACCTTGTAAAACTCACACCCCAAAAAATCAAAAAATGGGCAGAAGACATGAACAGACATTTCTGCAAAGAAGACATCCAGATGGACCACAGACACATGAAAAGATGCTCCACATCACTCAGCATCAGGGAAATATAAATCCAAACCACGAGGAGATCCCACCTCACACCAGTCAGAATGGCTAAAATCAACAACACAAGAAACAAGAGGTGTTGGCCAGGGTGTGGAGAAAGGGGAACCTCGTGCACTGTTGGTGGGAACGCAAGCTGGTGCAGCCACTGTGGAAAACAGTATGGAGGGTCCTCAAAAAGTTGAAAATAGAGCTGCCCTATGACCCAGCAATTGTATTACTGAGTATTTACCCAAATGACACAAACACTAATTCGAAGGGACACATGCACACTGATGTTTATAGCAGCAGTATCCACAGTGGCCAAACTATGGAACCGTCCCAAATGTCCATGGACTGATGCATGGATAAAGAAGATGCAGTGAATATGGACAATGGAATATTACACAGTCATAAAAAAGAATGACGTCTTGCCATTTGCAATGACATGGTTGGAGCTAGACAGTATTATGCTGAGCGAAATAAGTCAGAGAAAGACAAATAACATATGATCTCTTGTATGTGGAATTTAAGAGACAAACAAATGAGCAAAGGGGGAAAAAGAAAAGACAAACCAATAAACAGACTCTTAACTCTAGAGAACACACTGATGGTCACCGGAAGGGAGGTAGGGAGTGGATGGGGGAAATAGGTGATGAGGATTAGAGAGAGCATTTGTTGTGATGAGCACCAGGTGATAAAAATAAAAACTTTAAGAAATTAAAAATTTTAAAAATAAATAAATAATAAAACTGAGAGCTCAAGAACAGAATATGCACATCATTTGGTAATCACAAGATGAACAAGGGAACAAGAGCAGTGTCTCGGATGGACTGTGGGAGTCACCCCACCAGGGTCTGAGTCTGCAGGTGGAGCAGGGGAGGGGGCAGTCCCCCGAGCCAACACACCCTTGTTTGGTGAGGTGTGTCTGGGCCATGTGTAGAGCAGACCAGAATTCACACCAAAGATACACAAGCAAAAATGGAAAGAGGAGCCCATGTTTTAGACACACCTGACCATGAGCCAATCAGCCAACATCTGCATCTCAGTGTTTGCTTTCTGGACACAAGCCAGCAGCCATCACCAGACACATTCAGCGTCTTGGGGACGGTGTTACAAATACCTTACAGCAAATAAATTAATGAGGGTTGTCAGGAAACACTTGGAGCGGTAACAAGGAAAAGGAAGGCTGGAGAGACTCATATGAGGCTCAGCACCCCAGAGACAGATATAAAAGCCCCGATGCCCAGAGCACGCCACTCACACACTGGTCACACACACCCCTGTCCCTCTCGTTCCACAGCACAAAACTCCAGCATGGCAGACACCTGCTGCTCCAGGACCTACGTGGTGGCTGCGTCCACCCTGTCCGTCTGCTCCAGTGACCTGAACTGTGGCAGCCGCGTCTGCTCACCCACTGCTTGCACCAGCTCCTCCTGGCAGGTGGACAATTGCCAAGAGAGCTGCTGCGAGGCCCCCTGCTGTGCCCCCAGCTGTTGCCAGTCCAGCAGCTGCGCTCCCACATGCTGTGCCCCAGCCTCCTGCCTGACCCTCATCTGCACCCCTGCAAGTTGCGGATCTGGTCCCTGCCAATCAGTCTGCACCAGCTCCTGCCAGCCCTCCTGCTGCAGCTCCTTCCCCTGCCAGGAAGACTGCTGTGTGTCTGTTTGCTGCAAGCCCATCTGCTGCACCCATGTCTGCTGCAAGCCCGTCTGCTGCACCCCTGTCTGCTGCAAGCCCGTCTGCTGCACCCCTGTCTGCTGTAAACCCGTCTGCTGCACCTCTGTCTGCTGCAAGCCTGTCTGCTGCAAGCCCGTCTGCTGCACCCCCGTATGCTGCACCGCTGTCTGCTGCCAGGCCTCCCCCTGCACAGGCTCCTCATGCTGCCAGCAGTCTAGCTGCCAGCCCTCCTGCTGCAGCTCCTCTCCCTGCCAGAAAGACTGCTGCACCCCTGTCTGCTGCACCCCTGTCTGCTGCAAGCCCGTCTGCTGCACGCCTGTCTGCTGCACCCCTGTCTGCTGCACCCCTGTCTGCTCTGGGCCCTCCCCCTGCTCGGCCCCCTCCTGCTGCCAGCCCAGGCCCTGCTCCTCGTCCTACTGCAGACCGTCCTCCTGCGTGTCCCTGCTCTGCCGCCCCGTGTGCAGGCCCGCCTCCTCCTGCTGTGCCCCTTCCTCCTCCTGCCAGCCCAGCTGCTGCCGCCGGGCCTCCTGCGTGTCCCTGCTCTGCCGCCCTGTGGGCTCCCGCCAGGCCTGCTGTGTGCCCACCTCGGCCCAGAAGTCCTGCTGCTGACGGGGTCCGTCTTCCCCGGGGCCAGCTGGGCTCAGGACCCACCCAGTGACGGTGGTCCTCCCAGCCCCCTCAGTCCGGTCCTGACCTGTTAGGTGGCTGCCCACACCCAGGACAGGGTCTTCCATGCGTCCACTCTGCTGACCTGACCTTGACCTAATAGCTCCCAAGAACGCTGACCCCACTGCTCCCCAGGGCTCCTGCTCCCAGGAGGGGCCTCCACCACTTCTGGGTCCCCCGTCCTTCCCTCCCAGTTTCTCGGCTCGGGTCCCATGGCCTCAACTGCTGACCTCTCAGCGCCTGCTCAGACACCCCAATAAACTCACTCACCAGCGCATCTGCTTCCTTTCATCCGACCCTCATGGGGGTTGGGGGTGTCCAGGGGTCTGAGCAGACATTGGTCTCCTCCATCCAGGAACATTTGTAGGAATGGGGGACTGAGAAATCCTGCAGGGCAGGGCCCCGGGGTGGGAGGCATGTCCCGGACCAGGAAGGTCAGGGCTGCTGGACCCTGCGTGTCCAGGGCTTCCCGAGGCTGGCCGCCTGCACACGGGTCATGGTCTGGGGGTTCTCAGCCCCTGGCCCGTTTCCACCCACTGCCCCAGCTGGACAAACCGGCTCCAGACGAGCTGGCCTGGTTGCTGCAGCAGCACAGCCCCTATGGGCCCAGGGTCCCCCTGGGGTCCTCCCACGGGCTGTACCCATTTAGCAGAAAGGTGGTGGCGTAGGGGAGGCACTGCTCCAAGGTCCCAAAGAAAACAACTAGGTTTGAAACAAAATATTACGGGTCAGTGACAGGACCCCCAGGATCCCGTCCTGGGCGGGACTCTGAAGGCCATCATCTGATAGGTCTGGACTCCCCCTGGGAGCCTGAGGGACACGGAGACCTGGTGCGGGGCCTTTCCTGTTAACTGAGAAACCATCAGGCCTTGAATTGCTGTGAAGAGCGGGCTGCTCAGATGCCAGGATGACAGAGATGTCGTGTGAGGATACTGGTGGACAAGAGTGGGGACACCCACCAGCATGGCCACCACTGGCCCATCCACTCCTCAGCCCGGGAGCACCGGCCCTGAGCGGTTTGCACAAGTGACCTGTGAATCTCCACGTGTTTTCCCCAGCTTCCCGGGCCACGCCACTGCTGCTGGTGAAGACCCTTCCGGTTTCGGTCCACACCACCCAGGGCCCTGTCCTCGGCTCAAGCCCCTTGCCTCCGCCCATCTAGCCATGTAGACCCCTTGCAGGGACGCTGATAAACTCCCACGCCCCACTTTGGTGATGGCACCTGGAGTGTCTGGCGCTTGGGCCTCTGAGCTCTGCGGTCACCCCAATCTGGAGTCTCACCTGCGCAGGGCTCAAGGCGTTGAGTGCCCTGAGCCCATGTGTTACTCCTTTGATTTGTTCACAGCAAGCACCACCGGCCTCACACAGCCCTAGCAGTTCTCATAGACTTGAACAACTGCAGGCATACAAAGGACGGGGATTTCATCTCATAGCTGCTCTCTGAGGTGTGAGCTCCCCATCCCCTCTTTACGAGGAGGAAACTGAGGGATGATGTGTTGGGAAAACACAGTAGAGAGCCACCCATATGGCTTGTTGCCAGGATGCCATAAAGGCTGCCCAGGAAAGGCGCCTCTGACCAGCCCCGACATCCACCCTGACCCCACCCAACCCCAGGCCACCATGAGCCACAGCAGCTGCTCCACAGGCTGCCAGCCAGCCTGGCCCTGGCCCACCTGCTGCCTCTCCTGGGCTATGGGAGTTCCTATGGCCACCCAGACCCCCGCATGTCTATTCTGGGGCAGTTCCTCTGTACCCAGCCCTCCCCCAAGCCCAGCTAGCTACATGCCTATGAGCTTCCCCTCAGGGTCCTGCCCGGCTCACCTAGACCATCATCTAAAATACCCCCACTTGCTGCTGTGCTGGGACTTCCCCAACCCCACCCTGACTCAAGAAGAAGCCCCAAAGCCCAGCCCTTCCCTTCCACAGCCAGTGAATCTGTCATCATGAAAGTCCTTCCAGGGATGGCCCAGCCACGTCTGCATTCCCCACAGAAAAGGCCCCCAAAGCACCCCAAGAAACCCTGAAAGGCAGAGACCATGGACCCTCCTGGGCCTGACAGGCAACAGGAGACTCCCTTAGCCCCACATTGCCCCAGAGTCAGTCAGACCATGCAACTCCCTATCTGCTGAGTAACCCTCATGAATACTCTAATGTCTCACACCCTTTCCCTCTGTTTCCTTTGTGGTTTTGTTGACAAAGGGGATTCACAGCTCATCTGGGAACAGGGGACCCAGGGGACACATGTGACCAGTAGCCAGCATACAAGTGTCTCTGCCACTCCTCTCTGGGGCTTATACTGCTGCCTTTGGGGGCCCAGGAGCTCTGCCAGCCAGCCATGTCTACCGCAGGTCATCACTCCACTGTCTGGCTACCATCACAGGTCTGAAGCTTTGCTCCAGGAAAATCCTGTGGGCTGAGAACAAAGACTCCAACCCACTGTGAGTAGGAGCAGCTCCTCCCCATGCACAGGTGGGGGCTGACCCAGAGGTCAGCACAGGCCACAATCTTGCTGGGAGGTGGGGACAGAGGAGACTGGCAGTCAGTTTGTCCAGTGTCCAGAATGTCTTCTTGGGACAGGTGGGCATCCTGGACTCATGCCTACATTCACAGACACCAGAAAGTCCTCTGTTCCAGCACCGGGCCATCTGCTGGGATGCAGAGGGCAGAGAACAGGACACAGTCTCTGGAGCTCCTGCCTGCTGGGCTGGGTTGGCAGAGAGCAGCTGAGAAAGGAAGATCACAGACAGTGATAGTGGAGAAAGGGCAGAACAGTGTAAGAACGTGTCCAGACCAGAAGGTGGGAGGAAATGTAAACACACGTGTCCAGATGCAACCAGATGCATCTTCCCACACGCATGAATAAATCTGAGAATGGACTCCTGGAAATGCAGAGCAATGGGTCAGATGGTGGTGTGGAAATCACATTGCCCACAAGAGGGTCTGGGTCCTCTTTTTTTTAATTTAAGTTAAATTAGCTCATATATAGTACATCATTAGTTTCAGTGATTCATCAGTTGTGTAATAATCCAATCAAGAAATGGGCAGAAAACATGAACAGACAGTTCTCCAAAGAAGACATAAAATGGCCAGTACACACATGAAAAAAATTCTCCACATCACTTGATATCAGGGTCTGGATCCTCTTAATGACAGCAAAGATTCACAGCACGGGGGGTGGGGGGCTTACATTTTTCTATCTTTGCCAACTTGATAAGGAATAATACCTTATCATTGCTCCTTTTGCCTAGATGCATAGCATCCCAAAGGCTTGGTTTATTGATTTATGCAGAAACAGGGGGACAGGCATCTAAAGTCTCCCTACTTTTGATTATTACAAACACCACTGTGAGGGTCCTCACCACTTACCTGTGTGCACCAGTGTGTTTTCACTGGGTCTAAATTCCTAGAAGTGGGAAATCCAGGTCAGAACTTTTGCTGATTTTGAATTTTGAAAGATCAACCAAATAAATGCCATCAAAAGGACTTTTAAAAACTGTGCCTACTAAGAGTGATGTCAGAGAATACTGGAAATGGGGAACTCTAAGAGCCCACCTCCTCACCACCACAGAAACACTGAGGAGACTGGCAAACCTGCCAGAATCAATTTTATCTGAACTGCAGAATATGGTCAAAGGTTTACAACAACCAAGGGAATGCTTCATCAACACAAAAGTGACTGCAGCCTGGTGGACTGGGTCCCAGTGAGGGCCCTGGTTCTGGAGAGAGAGATGGGCCCCATTCTATGAGAAGTGTGGTTGTCTGTGCAGTGGCTCTGGAGGTGCCCATACCAAGGACTTGGCCTTATTTCTCATAACTTGAAACTCCTTCAAGGCCAAGAAGCAGCTACACAGAAAGTGTTTGTCAAATGAACCCATTGTTGCCTGGGAAAAGGGTTATCAATTGTGGGAAACAGAAGACACCCCAAAATGCTGAGGACAGAAAGCTGGGGAATGAAATGTTTGAAGGAATAAGGCTTTCAGACTTCCATGGGTGGCTGGAAGTCCAGAAGACCCAACACATGCCTCCAAGAGGCCCGTGCTCAGAAAGGACCCAAAAAGACCCTAGGCACTCACCATGGGCTACACATCCAGCTCTGACAGGCAGGAAGTGAAGACAAAAGCAGAACTTTAAACTGCCTGGCCCAGGGTTGTGAGCATGGTCCCATCACACAAGAGCCCAGCCACAAAGACTGGGAAACAATATTTTTTGGCTCCAGTTGATTAAGGAGCTCTCTGTCAAATCACCCTCTGACCACTGGCTAATAGAACAGTGACCACACCTGACAAAGAGTGCAGTCATTACAAAATAGTTTAAGTAAATGAAAGTTAATAGAGGTCATTGCTAGTGGATAGATTTGCCCTACAAGAAATGATAATTCAGGCTGAAATAAAAGGGAACTAAATAGAAACACACTGATAGGTCACAACAATCAGCAATAGACTATAAGGAAGGAGAGAATCTGATATTCAGAATTATCACATTATAATATTCAAACGTCCAATTTTCAACAAAAACTATGAAGTATACAAAGAAGGAAGAAAGGATGGTTTATTCAGAGGGAAAACATAATTAGCAGAAAATGCCCCTGAGGAAGCCCAAGGATTGAACTTTCTAGACAAAACCTTTAAATAAACTCTCTTAATATACTCTAAGAATCAGAGAAAACCATAGACAACGAATTAAAAGAAACTAAGAGCATAATGTTCACCAAATTGAGAATATCAATAAAAAACACAAGTATAAAAAAAGGAACCAACCACATAAAATTTCTAGGGTTATTGAACAAGTTGCAATAAGTGAAATGATAACCTCACTAGAGGAGCTCAATAGCACACATCAGCAGCCAGGAGAAAGAATTAGCAAATATGAAGACAGGACAGTTGAACTACTCCAGTCTGAGGAGTAGATGGAATAAGGAATAAGGATAAATGAACAGATATAACAAGACCTGCAGGACATGGTCAAGTAGACCAAAATGCATGTGACAGGAATCCCCAAAAGAGAGGGGGGGGAGAGAAAAAATATTTGAAAAAACAATGGCCAAAAACTTCCAAAAAACAAAGAAACCAACTAACCAACAAACCACATATGATTCTACACATCCAAGAAGCTAAATGGACTCCAAGTAGAATAAATCCAGAGACATCCACATGAGGATACATGATAACCAAACTATCCAAAGATAAAGAGAGCATCTTAAAAGCCACAAGAGGGAAGATTGACAGCCAATTCCTCATCAGAAATGTGAGGGCAGGAGGCAGTGGATGGCGTGTTTAAAATGCTGGAAGAAGGACTGCCAAACAAGAAGTCCCTGACCAACAAATGTAGGAAGGAAATATTAATACACTTTAAGGTAAGTGAAAGATAAAAGAATTCATTGCTAGGGGATAGACCTGCCCTACAAGAAATGATAATTCGGGCTGAAATCAAAGGGCACTAATCAGTAATTTAGAGCCATAGTTAGAGCTCAACTCCGGGAAGGGTGCTGATTTGGGTAGTTTGTGTGTTTATAAGGATTTGTGCATCACATCTAATTATTTGGTGCCCAGTTAGTATTCTCACATACCTTTTTCACTTATGCAAGGTCAGTAGTGATGTCCCCATTTTTACTTGAGTCTTCTCTCTATTTTTCTAGTCAGTCTAGGTAAAGGTTTGTCCATTCTGTCGCTCTTTTCAAAGAACCAACTTTGGTTTCATTGATTCTCTCTGTAGTAGTTCTAGTCTCTTTTTAATTAGTGCTTTGTTTCCTTCTTCTGCGAGCATTGTGTTTAGTCTACTCTTTTTCTAGTTCCTTAAGATGTAAAGTTAGGTTATGGGTTTAAACACTTCTTCTTTTTAAATTAAGTGTTGACAGCTATTAATCTGCCTCTGAGCACCGTTTTTGCGGCATCCTGTAAGTAGTGGTTCATTGTGTTGTCATCTGCTTTCATCCCAAGGAATTTCCTAACATCTTTTGCAATTTCTTCCTCAACCTGTTGGTTGTTTCAGTATGTGTTGTTTAATTTTGTGAATTTTCCCATTTTTCTTCTGTTATTGGTTTTCTTTTCACTGTGGTCAGAGAACTTTTTATAATTTCAATCTTTTAAAATTTACTGAGATTTGTTTTGTGGCCTAACTTATGGTCTAATCTGGAAAGTATTCCATGGGCACTTGAGAAGAACATGCGTTTCTGCTGTTCTTGAGTCGAATATTTTATGCACACATTGGGTTTAGCTGGTTTACGGCGATATTCAAGACTTCTGTTTCATTACTGCCCTTCAATCTAGTTGTTCTAATTTTCTATTTTCTATTAGTCATTTTCTATTAGTGGAAATGGCTTATTGAAGTCTCCAACTATTATTGTAGAACTGACACTCTATTTCTTCAATTCTGTCATTTTTACTTCATACATTTTGGGAGTCTGTTATTAGGTGTATATTTGTTTATAATTGTCATATCTTCCTGATATGTTGACCCTTTTCTCAATATCTAATGTCATTTTTAGTCTCTTACAACAATATTTGACTCTGAGTCCATTTTGTCCGATTTTATTATAGCCATCCAGCTCTCTTTTGGTTATTATTTGCATGAAATATCTTTTTTTCATCCTTTCACTTTCAATCTATTTGTATCTTTGAGTCTCAGGTTAGTGAACTGACCCAAGAAGAAATGGGCAAAACAAGGACTGAGATCACAATGTAATCCAAAACCTACCCCACAAGGAAAGCCCAGGACCAGATGGCTCCGTGCTGAGTTCTGCTAAACACGAAACTTTCTCGAATTCTTCCAAAAAACAGAAGATGAGAAAACACTTTCTAAATCATTCTATGAGGTCAGCATTATCCTGATATCAAAATCAGATGAAGACAAAAGAAAAAAAGAACTACAGACCAAAATCTTTTATAGATTAAGATTTGTAAAACTTCCACAAAATACAATCACACAAAATCTAGCAGGCTGTTAAGAGAATTATACACCATTACCAAGTGGGTTTATCCCAGGAATGTGGACTAATTCAGCATATGAAGACCAATCAGAGTAATGCACCACATTAATAGGATGAAGGGAGGAAACATGATCATCTCAACTGAGGCAGAAAAATCATCTGAAAAAGCCAACCTCCTCTCATACTAAAATCCTCAACAAACTATGAGAAGAGAACTTCCTTGACATAATAGAGGGTCAATGAAAAACCCACAGGAAACATCAGCCTCCATGGTGAAAGACTGAAAGCCTTCCCCCAGGCCAGGAACAGGCAAGAATGCTCACTTCCACCACTTTCCATGCAATATTGTGCTGGAAGTGCCAGCCAGAGCAATTTGGCAAGAAAAACAAATAAAAGACCTCCAAATTAGGAAGAAGACATAGAACTTACTACAAAGCTATAGTGATCAAAACAGTGGTCTTGGCATAATGATAAACATGTAGGGCAGTGGAATAAAATTGAAAGTAGAAAAAACCCATACATATCTGGTCAAGTGATTTTCAACTAGGGTATCAAGTTCATTTTGTGGGGAAAGTATAGTCTCTTCAACAAATGGTGCTGGGACAACTAGACATCCATGCTCAAAAGAATATAGTCAAACCCTACCTCACACCATATACAAAAGTTAACTCAAACACCAATCAAAGACCTAAATATAAGTGCTAAAACTATAAAACTTTTGGGAGGAAACATAAGGGTAAACCTGCATGACCTTAGATTTGGGAACAATTATCTTGGTTATGACACCCAACAAAAGAAAACAGATAAGTTGGACTTCATCAAAAGTTAAAGTTTTGTGCACTGAAGGATGTTATCAAGAGACTGAAAGGCAACCCACAGAGTGAGAGAAAATATTCGCAGAGCATAATTCTGATAAGGGTTTAGTATCCAGAATATATAAAGAACTCCTATAATTCAATAATAAAACTACAGATAATACAATTAAAAATGGGCAAAGCACTTTGATAGACATTTCTCTAAAGAAAATATTCAAATAGCCAATAAGCACTTGAAAGGAACTCCAATATCATCGGTCATCAGGGGAATGTAAATCAAAACCACAATAAGATGCCACATCATACCCACAAGGGTGGCCACAGTTTAAAAAAAAAAATAAAAGAACAGAAGCAGTGCTGGGGAGCATGTGGAGAAAATTCTGGAAATGTAAAATGCTGCAGGTGCTGTGGAAAGCAGTCTGGAAGTTCCTCAAAAGTTACACATAGAATTGCCACCTGACCCAGCCATGCCACTGCTGGGTATACACCTGGAAGAACTGAAAAGAGGCATTGAAACAAAAACTTGTACACAAATGTCCATAGCAGCATGATTTGCAATAGCCAAAAGGCGGAAAAACCCAAATGTCCGCTGACTGAGGAACGGAGAAATAAAATGTGGTGAACCCATTTGCTAGAATATTACTCAGCCAGGAACAGGAGTGACACACAAGCATGTGCTACAACACGGATGAGCCTGGAAAACATCACGCTCAGTGACTGGAGTCAGACACAAGAGGCCATGAACTGTGTGATTCCTTACACGTGAAAGGTGTGGAATAGGCAAGTCCACAGGGACAGAAAGCAGATTAGTGACTGACGGGGACTGCAGAGGACTCCTTCATAGTTCGGGATTTCCTTCCGGAGGGACGAGAAGGCTCTGGATCTAGCTGGTGATCACGGTTGCACAACATTGTGGCTTTGCTAGACGTCACTGACTTGTATGCTTTAAAATGGATGGAATTATACATTTTATATGTTATGGGCTCAATCCATAAAAATCATGCCTGCTGGGGGTTTCCAGGAGTGAGGCCCCCACACTGAGCAGCACTGGAAACTATTAACATGGTAAATTTTGGTTGATCTCACAGGTGAGATATTTATGTTTTAATTTGAGAACAGTTGGTCATTAATGAGCTCAAGTAGCTTTCCATGTGTTTATGGGAATTCTGAATGTTTTGAATTTTATATTTGATTCTTTTGTACCCTCTCCTGCTTTAGTTGTGGGGACTTTCATATGTTCATATTAACCTTTCACCCATCACACATATTGCCAATATTTTCCGGTAGTTCAATATTCTCAATTTGTATTCCAAAAAGATTCCCTTTTGGTTTTGAAATAAAACGATGATGGATTGTCCCCACATCACCTTCCCTCCATGCCTACCTCCTCCAGATTAAATCTCAGCCCACCCTCAGGCCCCCATCAGGGACCTGCCTCTGCCAGGACCACTGACCATAGGCTCCAAGGAAGGAGCATTAGGACCCAAAGGTCAGTCCTTGAATCCAGTCCTCCTAATGACCTAGGGAGTGAGGCCTCACTGGGACATTCTGGCTTCTTCTTGGGGAGGGGACATCCAGTCCTCTTGGTGGGCATCCTCCTCCTTGTCACTGACATTGACTGACACCGGGACCACAGAAATTCACTAGCCCGTCCAGGAAGAATCAGCCCCACATTGCCTGTGCCCTAAAATATGCACTTCTGTCCTCTTTCCTCCCAGTCACAGGCCATACCAGCTGTTCCAAGTGAGGTCCTGCACACCCAGGCGGGGTACACACGGAGCAGTCCCATGAGCCCATGGCCATCACCCAGAGCCCCAGCACATGAACTGCCAGGTGGAAGCCACAGAGGTAGCCACAGGGAGCCCACACCTTCCCGACAAGTGTCCGGGGAAACCAGGCTCACACCACGGACAACCAACCCTGCCCGGAACTGTCCAAGGTTTACAAGCTGAGCAAGATCATGTCATGACAACAGAACAGGCGCTAATAATGGTCCTCACAACCCAAAACACCAACAAGCAAGGGAGACGTGGTGAGCCTTCACCTGGACAACATAAACATCCGAGAGGGTATAAAATGCGCCAGCCCAACACCTCACACTCACACACACTCACACTCACAGCCTCCTCCAGCCCCACCGCACCACCATGGCCACATCCACCCTGTCCGTCTGCTCCAGTGACCGGAGCTACGGCAGCCGCGTCTGCCTGCCCGGCTCCTGTGACTCCTGCCCCGACTCCTGGCAGGTGGACGACTGCCCAGAGAGCTGCTGCGAGCCCCCCTGCTGTGCCCCCACCTGCTGTGACTCCAGCTGCTGTGCCCCCTCCTGCCTGACCCTCATCTGCACCCCTGCGAGCTGCGGGTCCAGCCCCTGCCAGTCAGCCTGTACCAGCTCCTGCCAGCCCTCCTGCTGCAGCTCCTCCCCCTGCCAGGAAGACTGCTGTGTGTCTGTCTGTTGCAAGCCCGTCTGCTGCACCCCTGTCTGCTGCACCCCTGTCTGCTGCCAGGCCTCCCCTTGCTCAGCCTCCTCATGCTGCCAGCAGTCTAACTGCCAGCCCTCCTGCTGCAGCTCCTCTCCCTGCCAGGAACTCTGCTGCAAACCTGTGTGCTGCACCCCTGTCTGCTGCAAACCTGTGTGCTGCACCCCTGTCTGCTGCAAACCCGTCTGCTGCACCCCTGTCTGTTGCAAGCCCATCTGCTGCACTCCTGTCTGCTCTGGGCCCTCCTCCTGCTGCCAGCCCAGCCCCTGCTCCTCGTCCTGCAGCAGACCCTCCTCCTGCGTGTCCCTGCTCTGCCGCCCCGTGTGCAGGCCCGCCTGCTGCGTGCCCGCCTCCTCCTGCTGTGCCCCTGCCTCCTCCTGCCAGCCCAGCTGCTGCCGCCGGGCCTCCTGCGTGTCCCTGCTCTGCCGCCCTGTGGGCTCCCGCCAGGCCTGCTGCGTGCCCACCTCGGCCCAGAAGTCCTGCTGCTGACCAGCTTGAACTTCTGCCTCCGGCGCTGCTGTCTTTGCTCCTGGGCACAAATGTCCTCTCTCAGGAGCTCTGACGTCCAAGACCATCCTCTGCCCGTTGGTGGACACGCAGCTGCTGCCTACTGGGGACTTGAACATGCCGCCCATCCTTTCCTGAGAAGAGATGCCCACCAGTCCCTCAGTGGAGGGGGACTGCGGCTCCCCGGGAACCCTCTTCTGTAGGGCCGGTGGCTCGTGTTCCATGTGACAAAGGCCAATCGCTATAATCAATAAAATGTTTGTGTCATGACCTAGAGACCAGTGTTTGTTTTCTCCTCCTCCTCGGAGCCCAGAGACCACTCCAGACTGGAGCTCTTTCTGGTGGAAGCCAACAATAAAGACATATTCTCAAATTCCAAGTTCAAAGCCCCTGAGAGATGATGAGGTCTGAATGTGGCTCTGCACACTCCATGTCCCTTCCCCACCCTGTGGCCTTCCCCACAGTGACGAGCCCTCCCTGGGCCAGGGGAAGGGGTGGGCGTGGTTGCACAAGGCTTAGACCCTGAGGGGACTTTGGGGTCTAGCCCATGCCTGGCCCCCTACCCATGCAGGTTAAAGGTGAGCTGAGGAGCAGCACGACCTAACTGGTGGGAACTTGAGGGTCCAGTACCTGGCACCACGCCGACTCCCTCGGAGAGAGGTGCCGCCCAGAGGAATGCCTGCATGCTGGTCTGGGCACAAGGGCTGATGCCCTGAAGCACCAGCAAATCCCTGTAGGCCCCCAGAGGGGTGCAAGGGTCAGTTCAGACATCATTCATTCTACTCAAGACTTCAAGGTCTGACTGGGGAGACAGGGAGAAAAAGATGCCTTGTTGACAAATCCTCAGAACAGTGGAAGATGATGAGCCTGCAGTCTCAGTGGACCACAAGTGCTAGAGAGTCAAGCGGGCACCAGTCAGACCAGCCAGGTCAGCATCAGGCTCCCTACTGACCCCTTGTGCCAGGAACAGACGGAAGAGGCCCCCAGGAGCAGAGCAGCAGAGGCCCGGCAGGCGGGAGGAGGAGCAGAAGGTATCTACCTCTCCACAGCGGCGGGCTCCGTCCCCTGCCCCAAGTTAGCTCTACCCCAGGGAGGTGGAGACGGAGCAAAAACCTCAGGGGGCCTTTAAAGAGAAAGGGGCTGGGTTGCAAACCCACCTTGACTCTTAAATCCCTCAGTCTGCCTGAATTTACTGAAAACCTGTACCCATGGCTTGCTCGTTTGAAGAGAAATGTGACCACCTGCACAGGTAAATGAACAGGGACCTCGATGGATTCTTCACGGCACAGAGTTAAAGACGTGGAGGAAGCTTCCACCGCATCCGTAACCAAAGACTGAAGGGCAGGGATGTAGACTCCCGTGGACACCAGCAAAGCACAGTGTAGCCAAAATAGCGTGTGGGAGGGATGGGCGGGGGGCCTGCAGGACGCTCCCTGGCTCTCGCCCAGTGGCTCCAGAACATCTAGGACCTTCTGACGGCTCCTGCAGGAAAGTCGGTCACAGCTGGAAAAGGCATGGCCGGCCACCGGTGGCCAGGCTGCTCCCGGCCAGGGCGTCTACATGGTCGGCTGAGCTGCTCACAGACGGGGTGTCTACAAGGTCAGCCAGGCTGTTTACTAATGAGCATCTACACAGTCAGCCACACTACTCACTGCGGGGTTTCTACACAGCCAGACTGCACACTCATGGGGCGTCTGTACAGTCAGCCAGATTGCTCACAGACAGGGTGTCTACACAGTCAGCCAGGCTGCTTACAGACAGGGGGTCTACACGGTCAATCTGACTGCTCACAGATGGGGTGTCTACATGGTTAGTCAGAGTGCCCACAGACAGGGCCTCTATGCAGTCAGCCAAACTGCTCCAGCCTGGAGCGTCTACACAATTAGATTACTTTTAAATGGGGCATCTACGCAGTCAGCAATACTGCTCACAGATGGGGTGTCTACCCAGTCAGCCAGACTACTCACGGACAGAGCATCTACACAGTCTGCTGGACTGCTCCATGCCGGGGTGTCTACACTGTCAGCCAGGCTGCTCACGGAAGGGGTGTCTACACAGTCAGTCTGACTGATCGGAGATGGGACAGCTACGTGGTCAGCCAGGCTGCTCACAGATAGGGAGTCTACACGGTTAGCCGGCTACCACTGCCCAGCGGTGGGGGGGGGTGGAGTCGGAGGTGACAGGAGTCTTTACCTCGGGAGGCTTCTTTAACATGTGTACACAGGCGGGGACAATGCCCGATGCTCTGAGACCCTCCAGATCTCGGGGAGCCCTTCTGTGGGCAGCTCCCAGGACCCAGATACCCCCATAACCATCATGTCTCAGACCGGGATGGTCACTGCCCTCAAAAGCATCAATGAGGACTGGGGCAGGCCTCCCCCGCTGTCTGGCGGATGGCGCCATGGCTGCTGGTGTGCCTGGAGGGAGGGTGTCTGCAAGGCGAGGGCATGACACGCAGGGGCTGGACACCCATGACGGTGAGACAGGCGGCCGGCATGGGGTCTACATGGACCAAGGATGAGGCAGAGCTGTGCACAGTAGGTGCTCTGAGAGTCCCTCTGAATTTCCCATCACGTATCCCATGACCTCACAATAATGGACATTTCCAGATCCATGGATCCGTGGTCCCGTTGCAGGAAGGACCCCCCCAGCACTCCTCTTAGACTATTTCTTGGTTCTCAGATAGCTCCCCCCTGGCACCCAGGTGTGCCCCGGATCCCTTGAGCTGATGACTGTGCACGCTCTGGGCGTCTCCCACCTCCCACCCAGGGCAGCCCCAGCATCCTTGCTCTTGGGTGGTCTGTGGTCACACCACAGGGGCTAAGCCCACGCTGTCAGGGGCAGGTTCTGGGCCAGGTGTCCCGACCCAGAACAGTGCAGGCTCCACGCATGGGCACACAGGAGGGCAGCCACCCAAGGCTCTGCCACGGAGAGGCTCTGTCTGTGCCGTGGTCCCCGAGACAGACCGCACACACGGTGGCCACAGCGGCACCAGCGGACTCTCTCACGGCTCCATGGCCAGAGTCTGGAGCGGGCCTCATGCACTGAAACCAGGGTGTGGCAGGCCTCGGTCCTCCCGGAACACCTGCACGACCTGTTCCCTGTCCCTCCCAGCCACTAGCAGTGCCACCTGCTCTGTGGGCATCTACAAGGCCAGCAGAACTGCTCACAGGCAGGGAGTCTACACCATCAGCGGGCTACCGTTGCCCACGGAGAGAAGGAGTCGGAGGTGACGGGGCTCCAAGCCCGCAGCCCAGTGTCCCTCTTCCCACGGCCTCCTCTTCCGCAGCCGTCATTCCTCTCCCTTCTCCCACGTCCCTGGGATGACGTGAGCCCCCGAACCAATCCAGGACAGCTCCCGGGGCAAGACCCTCAGTTCACCCCGTGTGGGGAGCCGCCATGTCTGCAGTTCTGCAGAACCTGTGTTCACTGGTTCTGGGGATGAGGGTGTGGACATCTCCGGGAGCCACGGAAGTCACCCACAAAGCCCTGTCCCCCCGAATGGGAGAAGGAAGAGCCCTAACTCGTCTGTAGGGCGTACACTTTCATTTTGAGCTGGGTTGGCTCCGCATATTGGTTGCTGAGCAGGGGACCTTTTTACCTAAAAAGGGTCAAACCCCAAAGTTAGGGATTTGCCCTCAGTACCCCCAGCAGAGTAAGAAATAACCTCGCTGGTTCAAGGGACCAAAGGGGACCAAAGGAAGCCCAGGGCCCAGAGGCCCTGAACTAGGAGCGCCCACTCACCCAAGAGGCCACCCCTGAGTGGCCGGTCCCCAGGGTACAGACATCTGGTAACCTGTGGCCTGTCCGCAGAGGGAGCGTTTCTGAATTTTGGGAGCCATGCCCGGAGGAAGCAGTTCAGGGACAGGCATAAAGGAGAGACGGTGCACACACTCGGTGGGTTTCAGATCACTCTGGAATTTATTAGACTTTTGTGCAGGGCTGCAGAGCTGGGCACTCCACACCAGCCAGAGACACTGGGGGCGACTCTCCGCCTGGGTACAGGGGATCAAGTGACTTTGCTGTAAGATGGTCTAGTCGGGTCCGGAAGGTCTGAAGTGGGTGATGTCTGGGCTGCCTGGTAGGAGTTGGGAGAGCAGCTACTTCTGACAGCACGGAGGAGGGGTCCTAGGAGGCCGTGGGCTCAGCAGCACGTAGGGGTGCCGCAGGGGACAGGCCTGCAGAGCAGGGTGGGGCAGGAGGGCTGGCAGCCCCCAGAGGACTGGCAGGAGGGAGCCACATACACAATGGGCTTACAGCTCACGGGCATGCACACAGCTGGCTTGCAGCTCACAGGTATGCACACGGCTGGCTTGCAGCTCATGGGCACGCACACGGCTGGCTTGCAGCTCACGGGCACGCAGCAGGACATCTGGCAGGAGCTGGGCACGCAGCAGGACGTCTGGCAGGAGCTGGGCACGCAGCAGGCCTGCTGGCAGCCCGTGGAGCAGCTGGACTGGCACATGGTGGCGTGGGGCTGGAGTGGAGTCAGGGTGGAGGACGGGGCTGGTCTGGAGGCTCCTTCCCCAGGCAGCCTTTATACCCAGGCTGTGGCATCCTGGCAACAAGCCACACGGGGGCCTTCCTCCTGGTTACCTGATTGTTTTCCTCCTCCTGCTCCTCCTCTGTGCGTCTCTTCCTGGAGTTTCCCGGTGGAAGCGACTCTGTTCAGGAAGCTCTGTGACAGCTGGAGGCTCAGTGTGACCCAGCAGCCCCGTGATTTCTCGACTCCGCCCAGGTAGGATGGTGAAGGACCATCGGCTGGGGACAAGGGCCCCCATATCAGGAATTTCCAGGTCCTCCCCGAGCTCACGTACCCTGTCCTCTGTCCACACAAGCACCATCCTGCTCGCCAGACCGGGGATCCCTGTTTTGATTTGGAAACTCCGTGATCCAAAAGGCCTTCCCAAGGGACCAGAGCCCAGTGGCTGGGCTCCTCACTGGGGACAGCCATGGCCGTGGCATCCACCATGTCATCCGGTCCCAGCTTTGTGCCACGTTATCTCTCGTCATTGACTAGTCACCAGTCCTTGCCGCCATCCAAGGGGTAGGGGTAGCCCACGTACGCGGATGCGCAACTGGATTCCGGGATGTGTGCGCGCTCTCCCACTGTGGCCAAGAAGCAGGCCTTTGAAGCTCACTTTCACTCTGGGTCTGCGGTCATTACCATTGTGCCAAATTATGCTGGGGTTTTAGGGGTTTTCTGGGACCCTTAGATCAGTAAGTTAGAATTTTTTTAAAAAAATCTAATTTGGGAGGTTGCCTGAATGACTCAACTAGTTGAGCATCTGATTCTTGATCCCAGCTCAGGTCTGGATCTCAGGGTCATGAGTTCAAGCCCTGCATAGGGCTCCAACTGGGCATGGAGCCTACTTGAAAAAGCGGGAGAATTGTCTATTATTTATGCTTCAATATCATTCTCTTCTTCTCCATGGGTTGAAATTGCTTCTTGTTGGACTTCCTGATATTGTCCATAGACCCCTTCATGATTCTTAATTCTGTTCTCTCTTCCTCCGATTCGGTGATTCCTACTGATGTGTCTTCACATCGACAGTCTTTCTTATTCTGTCGGCCGGGACCGCGAGGCCTGGACTCACGCTGTGTGGTCTGCACTTGTCCCCCTGCACCTGCTGCCCAGTGCCCGCACCGCAGGATTTCCCCCTGTTTCGGGAACGTGCCCGTCTCTGCGCTGGTGTCCTCACGCCCCCACAGCTGCTTCTGTTTGGAACACCGCCCCTCCCCCTGCCCCAACATCCCCACGTTGTGCCTGCTCAGCGTCCCCTCCGCACACAGGTCCCCAAACCACTCGCCAGCACCCCCATTCCTCTCCACCTGCTGAGCCTGTTTCCTTCCTGGGGCTCAGTCCGTCCTGGCATCATTTCATGCGTTAATTTTCATGCTCTCACTTATTGATTGCCCCACGAGGCTCACGAGGCTAGGACGTCTCTATAGCCAGCACACAATATACATTTGTTCATGATCAAATCAATGATTGTATAGATTACTAGAAGGCAGAAGCTGGTCAACTTTCTACAAAGGAAAGAGAGTAAGTATTTCAGGCTTTGCAGGGGTTTGGTCTCTCTCATAACCGCTCCACATTGTACTGCAAGCCCTAGAGCATGTAAGCAAATGAGCGTGGCTGTTTCCAATAAAGCTTTATTTACAAAGCAAGGAGAGGGCCAGATTTGTCCCACAGACTGCCCTGGTTCCCAGTTTGCAGATCCTCATTTTAATGTTTTCCTGTGCAAAATAGAAGCTCAAGAAGCATTACTGCCTCAAAGTCACCACCGACGGCTGTGAGACAAAAAGGAATAAAGGATGCGATACCTAGTGGGGCCAGCGGTGCTCTGTGCGCAGTACTGGTCTGGAGAAACAGCACGAGCCCCACGTAAAGGCAAACCAGAACATCCTGTTTACAGAAGAAGGAATTGGCCTCTCAGCCAAACTCATTATAGTGGAGCAAAACACAGGGGAGCGCATCCCACGACAAGATGTTGGGGAAACAACTATAAGGAAGTCAACAGCTGTGCTTCTGTGTTGCCGGGACGCCTACTGCCCGGGTATAAAGGCTGCCCAGGGCAGGAGCCTCCAGAACTCACCGCCCTCCTCCCTGACTCCACTCCAGTCCCACGCCACCATGTGCTACACCAGCTGCTCCATGGGCTGCCAGCCGGCCTCCTGCACCCCCAGCTCCTGCCAGACGTCCTGCTACGTGCCCGTGAGCTGCCAGCCCACTGTGTCTGTGCCCATGAGCTGCAGGCCCGCCATGTCCGTGAGCTGCAAGCCCGCTGTGTACGTTGTCCCCTCCTCCCAGTCCTCTGTGTGTGTGCCCATGAGCTGCAAGCCCCTTGTGTTCATGGCCTCCTCCTGCCAGTCCTCCGGGGGCTGCCAGCCCTCCCGCCCCACCCTGCTCTACAGACCCATCTCCTGTAGCACCCCGTCCTGCTTCTGACCGGGATCCACCCCCCAGCTGCTCCCAGGGCACAGGGGCCCCACCTGCACCCCTCCTGGGGCAAGTCTTCAGCGGCCTCTGGGTTCTGCACATGCAGATGAAGAACATGCCCATCGGACCCTCAGAAGCCCATGGCGAGGATGTGGCAGGATGACCCGGATCCCTCTGTGACCCAGCATATGCCCTGTGGGAGGCCTAGTTTCCGGGGTCCTCTGCCTCCAGCGGGAACCAGCCCTGTGTGACCCAAATAAATCATGCTTTCCTCATGCAGCTTGTCCCTGGTTTATCTTCAAGTATTTCCAAGTTCTTTTCTTGAAGACGTATACAGCCATGAGCAGAGCAGCCGCTCCTCAAAGAACCCTCCCTCCAACAGCTCAGCTGAGGTGGGGAGAGGGTCCGTGGAGGGTGCAGGGGGAGGTGCCGTTCCCACGTCCAGCACCTGAGACTCACCTAGTAGATGGGGAAGGGCAGCGGAAAACTACCCCCATGGAATAGGGGACAGGAATCAGAGCGTGACCACAGGGAGGGCAGGGAAAGCTCACATAGACCCACCCCAACTACAGAGTGAAGTCTGGCCATTGCAGGAAGAGTGGCAGGAAAGGAGAAAGCCTCACCCTCCAAGACCCGGGCACATAGGGCCCGCTCAAGACTGACCTTGGACTAGGACAATGGAGCCCTCCTGGCTCCCACTCAGCCTGGCTGGTACAGCTGTAGGAGCAACAGCAGTCACGGGGTGGGGGGTGTAGGGAGGAGGCAGGCATGTGGAGAGGTCCCCTCCATGTGCCAGGCACACAGGGACAGCTGAAAACTTAGGGCAGAGCAGGAATGCTGTACCTCCAGCCCTTGCTGGTATACCACTTAGTGTCCTAAAATTCAACTCAGTTCTGCCACTGTCTACTTGGAGACACCATCAGATCCCACAGGTAAATGGCTCAGCCTAGAAGACTGATCCCGCACCATTTCAGATGCCAACTGCAAGTTTAGCTTGTCACCTGTGTTTCTGACCAACCAGCTCTAGATCAAAGGTCCTGAGGTTCAGTTGATTTGTTAGAGTGGATCACAGTACTCAGAGAAACTTTTACTTACTAGATCACCAGTTTATTATGAAAGGATACAGTTCAGACCCAGCCAGATGGAAGAGATACAGAAGGCAAAGCATGCATGGGGAGAGAGTGTGAAGCTTCTGTGACTCTCCAGGCTCACAATATCACAACATATAAAAGGATAGAGTATAAAACACAGACTACATATATGAACAGATGGGGAATTTCAGAAGAGATGGAAATTATAAGAGCCAAACAGTTAATATAAAGTTCAAAATAGGTAGGAGACAAGATGGCGGAGAAGTAAGAGACGCTGTTTCAACCTGTCCCCTAAAGTGAGCTGATTACCTATCAAAGAACTCTGATCACCCGTGAAATCAGCCTGAGATTAGAATTTTACATGTCTGCATCCCTACGGGGGCAGAAGACACCAGTGGACAGGTAAAGCAGAGTGGGAACATTGGACTGATATCAGAAGATAAACAAAAGGGGGAGGGAGCCACCAGAAGCAACCCGTTGGAAAGTAATACCCCAATATGAGAGTGCCCTGTGGTTGGGGACCAGCATTAACTTGGAGTCTGCTTGAAAGCTCTCAAAAAGAGTAAAAGATCTTAAGGGGAAATTGGTGGAATTGGGTGATTAAGGACAGGGGATTAAACCCAAGGACCCAGGATGGCCCCACCACCAGTCAGGAACTAGAGAGAGCAGTGAAGAAGCCAGGCCTTGGTCCCTGAACTGCCAGTGCACCTGAGAGCATCTGGGTGGCAGCACCCGTGAGGATGAGGGAGCCTGCTGTGGATGCTAGCAGGCAGAACCACAGCCTTTTGCACTCTGCACATGCACTGTGCGACCAGGGTCTGAGTCGTGCCCCACACCCTCCCCTGAGAGAGATGCGTGCAGGCGCCAGCCGGCGCTCTCTCAGACCCAGAGAGTCTAAGCACTTTCAGCCCGGGCCAGCGTGAAAATCTCAGTGCACTATCTCTGCTTGGGACCTCTCTGGCGGTCTGGAGCTGCCCAGACAGCTGCAGCTAGTATTTCTCATGGTTTTGGGTAAAAGCGGGAATTCCTGTGACCCCAGAGACTGTGACTGGGGATGTGCTCTGCCAGTGGCAGAGGTGGAATTTATGTGCTCTGGAGCTCCCAGAGGGGAGCAGACTGAGGCTTCTCTCTAAGAGGGAAGTCTGGGTGCAGTTTGCTTTCCTCTAAACCTCCAAAGAACCACTGAGAGCGGCTAAGGGGAGAAACAACAAACTAACACACAAACAAAAAAACTCCAGAGAACAAAAGCCTGAAAAACTAGTTTCTTCAGAGCCCAGCCCCTTGATGGGGGCAGGAGGACTCAACTCTAGCAAGACTCCCTGAAAACCACGCAGCAGGCCCCTCCCCCCAGAAAGCCAGCCAAAAACAAAAAACAAAAAACAACCACCACTACTTCATAGATACAACTTTTATTTTTAATTTGTTCCCACTATTGTGATTCTTTCCATTTTTTTATTTAACTTTTTAACCTATTTACCATCACAAT